CCGCTCCGGGGCCGCCGCACCCCGCCCGCGGCCCCTCAGCACCCGCGGCCCCTCAGCATCCCCCGGCCCCGGTCCCGGTGCCTCAGCATCGCCTCGTCCCTCAGCATCCCGCGGTCCCTCAGCATCCCGCGGCCCCTCAGCATCCCCCGGCCCCCTCAGCATCCCCCGGTCCTTCAGCATCCCCCGATCCCGGTCCTTCAGCATCCCGCGGCCCCTCCGCCCTCGGGGCCGGGCCGTGCGCGGCGAATTCGGCCCCGCTGTGGCCGCGCGGGGACGGGAGCGCCGCTCCGGGGCCTCCAAACGCCACGGCCCCTCAGCATCGCCCAGCCCCGCTCCCTCTGCGTCGCTCGGCCCCGCTCCCTCACAATCCCCGGTGCCTCAGCATCCCCCGGGCCCTCAGCATCGCCCGGCCCCGGCCCGGTGCCTCAGCATCCCCGGTCCCTCAGCATCCTCGCCCCTCCGCCCCCGCGGTGCCGCTCCCTTCGCGGCCGCTGGGCCGGTGCCAGCGCTGGGCGCGGGCCGGGGCCGGTGCCGGCGGTGGCCGGGGCAGGTGCAGCCGGGCCGATGACGTGATGTCTGTGCCGGGCCGCGCCGCGCCCCGGCCTTTGTTCGCGCTCCCCGGGGCGGCTGCGGCACCGGCACCGGCGGCACAAGGCGGGGCCTGCCCGGGCCGCCGGGGATGCTCGGGGGCGGGCAGGGGCAAGCGGCCCGGGCCGAGCCGGGAGCCGGTACCGGCAGCGCCGCGGGGGCGGTGCAGGAGCTGCAAACCCCGCTGAGCCCCGTGCGGGCCCAGCCCGGCGGCGTCGGGCCGAGAACCAATGGGTTTGGGATGGTTTTGGGGCAGAGAACCACTGGGGCTTGGGATGGTTTTGAGACCCAGAACCGCTGGAGTGTGGGATGGTTTTGGGGCCCAGAACTGTTGGGGTTTGGGATGGTTTTAGGGCCCAGAACTGCTGGGTTTGGGATGGTTTTGGGGCTCAGAACCGATGGGGTTTAGGATGTTTTTGGGGCCCAGAACCACTGGAGTTTGGGATGGTTTTGGGGCCCAGAACCACTGGAGTTTGGGATGGTTTTGGGGCCCAAAACCGATGGGGTTTAGGATGTTTTTGGGGCCCAGAACCACTGGAGTTTGGGATGGTTTTGGGGCCCAGAACCACTGGGTTTGGGATGGTTTTGGGGCCCAAAACCGATGGGGTTTAGGATGTTTTTGGGGCCCAGAACCACTGGAGTTTAGGATGGTTTTGGGACCAAGAACTGCTGGGTTTGGGATGGTTTCAGTGCCCAGAACCACTGGAGTTTGGGATGTTTTTGGGGCTCAGAACCGATGGGGTTTAGGATGGTTTTGGAGCCCAGAACCAGTGGGGTTTAGGATGGTTTTAGGGCCCAGAACCACTGGAGTTTGGGATGGTTTTGGGGCCCAGAACCACTGGGTTTGGGATGGTTTTGGGGCCCAAAACCGATGGGGTTTAGGATGTTTTTGGGGCCCAGAACCACTGGAGTTTGGGATGGTTTTGGGGCTCAGAACCGATGGGGTTTAGGATGGTTTTGGAGCCCAGAACCAGTGGGGTTTAGGATGGTTTTAGGGCCCAGAACCACTGGAGTTTGGGATGGTTTTGGGGCCCAGAACCGCTGGGTTTGGGATGGTTTTAGGGCCCAGAACCACTGGAGTTTGGGATGGTTTTGGGGCCCAAAACCGATGGGGTTTAGGATGGTTTTGGGGCCCAGAACCAATGGGTTTGGGATGGTTTTGGGGCCCAAAACCGATGGGGTTTAGGATGTTTTTGGGGCCCAGAACCACTGGAGTTTGGGATGGTTTTGGGGCCCAGAACCACTGGGTTTGGGATGGTTTTGGGGCCCAAAACCGATGGGGTTTAGGATGTTTTTGGGGCCCAGAACCACTGGAGTTTGGGATGGTTTTGGGGCCCAGAACCACTGGGTTTGGGATGGTTTTGGGGCCCAAAACCGATGGGGTTTAGGATGTTTTTGGGGCCCAGAACCACTGGAGTTTGGGATGGTTTTGGGGCCCAGAACCACTGGGTTTGGGATGGTTTTGGGGCCCAAAACCGATGGGGTTTAGGATGTTTTTGGGGCCCAGAACCACTGGAGTTTGGGATGGTTTTGGGGCCCAGAACCACTGGAGTTTGGGATGGTTTTGGGGCCCAAAACCGATGGGTTTGGGATGTTTTTGGGGTCCAGAGCAGCTGGAGTTTGGAGTGTTTTTGGGGCTGAGAACCGCTGGGTTTGGGATGATTTTGCGGCCCAAGAACCAATGGGTTTGGGATGGTTTTGGGGCCCAGAACCGATGGGGTTTAGGATGTTTTTGGGGCCCAGAACCACTGGAGTTTAGGATGGTTTTGGGACCAAGAACTGCTGGGTTTGGGATGGTTTCAGTGCCCAGAACCGCTGGGTTTGGGATGTTTTTTGGGCCCAGAACCATTAGGGTTTGGTTTCATCCAGGACAAGGGGAATTGTGAATAACTGAGGCACAAACAGGCGCTGGATGAGATAATGTTCAGAGTCGAGATAATATTCAGAGTTGCAATAATTTTTAGATTTATGATAATTCAGTGAGGGAAAATATTTATTTGGTGCTTTCTGCTGTGGCTGTTGGGTGCTGCTTCTGTAATTGTCCCATCAGAGGTGCAAGAAATGAAGGTACAAGAGTTGATCCTGTGAGGACACAATAGAAATAAAACAGACACCAAGAATGAGAATAAGAATAAGAATAAGAATAAGAATAAGAATAAGAATAAGAATAAGAATAAGAATGGGGTTTCAGCATTTTTCTTACACATTACCAAATTATTTTAAGCTGAGTTCTCTCCAAATGAGTTGTTTAAGATAATTTTCTTCATATCAAAGAGGGAACATTAAATAACAAACTGAAGTTGGGTTTTTGGGGCAGTGTTTTGTCAATATTATGAATTTTTCTCTCTGGATTTAACTCAATCCCAGGCTCTGCAGTGAGACCTGGGACAGGTTTCTGTGTGGAATCAGCCAGAGATTCCAGCTGCAGGTCAGAAGGGTTTCTGTCTAGCTAAAAGTGGTTTTTTTCCACTTTTGGGAGCAGGCAAAATAATTTTCTCTGATTCTGTCGGGTGCTCAGTTTACAGCCTGTTAGCCTCAGTAAATGGTGATGTGGGAAGAACTGAGAAAATCCAAATTCATGGTGCTCTCTGTAGCTTCAAGGATGAGATTAGAAATTATTTCCTCCTGATTGTGGTACAGAATGAAGAGGAAAATGAGACAAGTTTACATTTTTTTAACCAGCTGTCTCATTTGAGTGCTGCCACGATTGTCATGCCAGGGGTTTTTGGTAAAGGAGTGGTTTGGACAAATTGTGAAAAAAATAAACATAGGGTTGGAGGGCTTTTTGTTTGTTTGTTTGTTTGTCTGCTGGCTTCTGAAAAATAAAAGAAAATGGCTTTAAAACCAGGAATACAAAAATCATTTACATGAAACTTAAACCTTCCTAAAACCTCCCACCAAGAAACTGAAGAGAGAAAAAAATCCCCTCCTTTTCCTCCCCTTCCAGACTGAACAACCCCAGTTCTTCTTGCATCTCCCTCTGCTGCACGTGCTCTCCGTCCAGCCCAGGCTTGGAGAGCTCTCAGAATTGCTGCAGGATGTCAGAGCAGTGCCCTGGGGAGCTCAGCACCCTGGGCTCATTCTGTGCCTTGGCCAAACTTCTCCAAAGTCATCCATCAGCAAATCAAAATGAACATTTTTAGGAGTTTTCTTAATTCTTTTTTTTTTTTTTTTAAATTCTGCCTTGCCATTACTGATTAACACAGTTGGCATAAAATCTAGGAAATATCAGATAATCCCTAAATCCAAGGCCAGGATTTCTGTCTGTTGGTTTGGAGACTGGATTTCCATGGGAGATTTCAGGTTTCAGCCACAAAGGCCAGGGCAAAACAACCATTTCAGGGCAAAGGGATATTTTAAAAATTATTAATGAAAGCTATCTCAAATCCAGCATTACGGCCATATTTATTACTCCCTCCCTGTTGTGGAAACAGAATTGTGTAACATTCCTGAACAGGGCATTAAAAAAATAAAAGGAAATGCTTCCTGCAGATCAAGAGGCAGCGTTCCTATGGAGATGCTGGTGATGCAGGAGCTGGGTTTGGCAAGAGAAGGCAATCAACAGTTTGAGCTCCTTAGCTCAGGGAACAGGTCAGGCATGCCTCAGGAGTGTGAGAAATAAAATTAGAGATGGAAGTGATGTCTGGGGAAGCTGTGAGAGGCAGATCCCAGAGTTAAAGTGTGACAGGAGTGTGTGGGTCTGCAGCCAGGTGTGCTGTGTCTGCCCTGGTGGTGGCAGGACAGAGATCCTTACTCAGCTCAGGGAACAGGTCAGGCATGCCTTAGGAGTGTGAGAAATAAATTTAGATTTGGAAGTGATGTGTGATGTCTGGGGAAGCTGTGACAGGCAGATCCCAGAATTAAAACTGTGACAGGAGTGTGTGGATCTGCACGGCTGCTCCTCACTGCCTTCCCACAGATGTGTCCCCCGTGGTGGCAGGACAGAGATCCTTACTCAGCTCAGGGAACAGGTCAGGCATGCCTTAGGAGTGTGAGAAATAAATTTTGGGAAGCTGTGATAGGCAGATCCCAGAATTAAAACATGATAGGAGTGTATAGATCTGCAGCCAGGTGTGCTGCTCCTCACTGCCTTCCCACAGATGTGTCCCCCGTGGTGGCAGGACAGAGATCCTTACTTAGCTCATGGAAAACAGGTCAGACATGCCTTAGGACTGTGAGAAATAAATTTAGAGATGGAAGTGATGTCTGGGGAAGCTGTGCTGGCAGATCCTGGAATTAAAAGTACAAGAGGAATGTGTAGATCTGCACAGCTCCTCCTCACTGCCTTGTCTTCCCACAGATGTGTCCCTTGTGGTGGCAGGACAGAGATCCTTAGCTCATGGAACAGGTCAGGCATGCCTCAGGAGTGTGAGAAATAAATTTAAATTTAGAAGTGATGTCTGGGGAAGCTGTGACAGGCAGATCCCAGAATTAAAACTGTGACAGGAGTGTGTGGATCTGCAGCCAGGTGTGCTGCTCCTCACTGCCTTCCCACAGATGTGTCCCCCGTGGTGGCAGGACAGAGATCCTTACTTAGCTCATGGAAAACAGGTCAGACATGCCTCAGGAGTGTGAGAAATAAATGTTGGGAAGCTGTGATGGGCAGATCCCAGAATTAGAAGCACAACAGGGATGTGTAGATCTGCAAGGCTGCTCCTCACTGCCTCCTCTTCCCACAGATGTGTCCCCCGTGGTGGCAGGACTCATTGGAGCCACTGTGCTGGTGGTTTCTGTCTCAGTCACAGTCTTTGTGTGGACATGCTGTCACCAGCAAGCAGAAAAGAAGCACAAAACCCCCCCCTACAAATTCATTCACATGCTGAAAGGCATCAGCATCTACCCGGAGACCTTGAGCAACAAGAAGAAAATCAACCGGATCCGGAGAGACAAGAGCGGCACGGCCAAGGAGGGGGCCAGCGGGGGCAACCTGCTGCTGGATGCTGCTGAGGCTGGCTTGGTGGGCCCCAACAAAGCTCCAGATGGACCCCCCCAGGTCGACCAGCTCCCCATCAAAGTCGATTACGGAGATGAACTCAGCCCAGATCAAAGCCTCACTCCGGGAGGGAGTAAAACCTCCTCTCCCTCTTCCCCTGGTGACGACGTCACGCTGGGAGACCTGACCTTCTCAGTGGACTACAACTTCCCCAAAAAGGCCCTGGTGGTCACCATCCAGGAGGCCCACGGGCTGCCGGTGATGGATGAGCACACCCAGAGCTCCGACCCCTACATCAAGATGACAATTCTGCCCGACAAGCGGCACCGCGTCAAGACCCGCGTGCTGCGCAAGACCCTGGAGCCCGTGTTCGACGAGACCTTCACCTTCTATGGCATCCCCTACAGCCAGCTGCAGGACCTGGTGCTGCACTTCCTGGTGCTCAGCTTCGACCGCTTCTCCCGCGATGACGTGATCGGGGAGGTGATGGTGCCCCTTGCCGGGGTGGACCCCAGCACTGGCAAGGTGCAGATCACCAGGGAGATCCTCAAAAGGAACATCCAGGTGAGTGTGGTCACCCTGCTTCCACGCTGGGTCACACAAAGGTCTGTTGACCCCAGAGATTTTCATCTGGGAGCCTCAGATCAGGAATGATGCAGATCCTCTGCCATGAATCCTGGTTTTCACACAAATGCATATTTTTGGTGTGATATGGCTGTGTTTGACCCCAGAGCTTTTTGATCTGGGAGCCTCAGATCAGGAATGATGCAGATCCTCTGCCATGAATCCTGGTTTTTCCACAAATGCGTATTTTTGGTGTGATATGGCTGTGTTTGATCCCAGAGATCCTGATCGGGAAGCCTCAGATCAGGAATGATGAGGCAGATCCTCTGCCATCTGGTTTGTCCCTAAATTCATTTTTTGGTGTGATATATCCACCTTGCAGGGGTGGATCCGGGCACTGGCAAGGTCCATCTCACCAGGGAGATCCTCAAAAGGAACACACAAGTAAATCTCTTCCATGTTAGGTCCCTCTTTACACTGTGCTTGACCCCAGAGCTTTTTGATCTGGGAGCCTCAGATCAGGAATGATGAGGCAGATCCTCTGCCATCTGTTTTTTCCCCAAATTCATATTTTTGGTGATATATTCACCTTGCAGGGGTGGATCTGAGCACTGGGAAGGTCCATCTCACCAGGGAGATCCTCAAAAGGATCTCTTCCATGTTGGGTGACTCTTTGCCCTGTGTTTGACCCCAGAGCTTTTGATCTGGGACCCTCCATGGTTTTACAAGCAGGCATAATGCAGATTGTCAGGCATAAATTCTGGGTTTTTTCCCCAAATTCATGTTTTGGTATGATACATCCACCTTGCCGGGGTGGATCCCAGCACTGGCAAGGTGCAGATCACCAGGGAGATCCTCAAAAGGATCTCTTCCATGTTGGGTGACTCTTTGCCCTGTGTTTGACCCCAGAGCTTTTTGATCTGGGAGCCTCAGATCAGGAATGATGCAGATCCTCAGCCATATATTCTCTTTTTCCCCCAAATTCATATTTTTGGTGATATATCCACCTTTCAGGGGTGGATTTAAGAACTGGCAAGGTCCATCTCACCAGGGGGATCCTCAAAAGGATCTCTTCCATGTTGGGTGACTCTTTGCCCCGTTTTTGACCCCAGAAATTTTGATCTCAGTGAGATCTCAGGGAGCCTCAGTGCTTTTACAAGAAGGAATAATGCAAATCCTCAGCCATAAATTCTGTTTTTCCCACAAATGCATATTTTTGGTGATATATCTACCTTTTAGGTGTGGATCCAATTACTGGGAAGGTCCAGCTGACCAAAGAGATCCTCAAAAGGAACATAGAAGTCATTTCCATGTTGTGTCACTCTTTGGCCTGTTTTGGACCCCAGAGCTTTTGATCCAGGAGCCTCCGTGGTTTAACAATCAGGAATAATGCAGATCCTCAGCCACAAATTCTGTTTTTAAATTCTGCTTTTTCCCCAAATTGATATTTTTGGTGTGATATGGTTGTTTTGGACCCCAGAGCTTTTGATCCAGGAGCCTCCATGTTTTACAAGCAGGAATAATGCAGATCCTCAGCCATGAAACCACAAACAAATCAGTGGAATTTGAGTTCCTAAACCCCTCAGATCCCCCAAGGCAGCATTGGCAAGACTGGCAGGGGACTCCTGAAGAGCCTGAGGAGCTCTTTGTGAAGATCCACAAAAAAAATCAGTGGAATTTGAGCTCCTAAACCCCTCAGATCCCCCAAGGCAGCCCTGGTGAGACTGCTGGGACACTCCTGAAGAGAGTCTCAGCTGCTGAAGATCCACAAAAAATCTGCAGTTTGAGCTCCTAAACCCCTCAGAGCCCCAAAGGCAGCCTTGGCCTCTCCTCTCTCAGAAGTCCCACCAAGTTTTCCCCTCCTAGAAATGCAGATTTCCAGGCTTGGGGATGCTGCAGCTGTGGGATGAGCACGTGGTGCTTCCCCTTCTGAGACCCCTGGGGCTCATTTTCCAACTTTTTGAGCATTTAACACAAGGAGAGCACACTTGGGGACCTGCCTGTGTGCAGGAGCAGCCTGTGCTCAGGAGCTGTGTGTGTTTCTCTGCAGAAGTGCATCAGCAGAGGGGAGCTGCAGGTGTCCCTGTCCTACCAGCCCGTGGCACAGAGGATGACCGTGGTGGTGCTGAAGGCCAGGCATTTGCCAAAGATGGACATCACTGGCCTCTCAGGTAGAAGCTATTTTCTCCACCTTTGAAAAACATCAATCCCCCAAATTCACCTTTCCTTTGTCTTAGCTGGAGATTTTGGCTGTGTATATATTTTTCCTCAAATTCTTCTTAAGGGTTTTGGGTTGCTCTGAGTGCTCCATCAGTCAGCTGTGATGGAGCTCCTGAACCCCTCAGATCCCCCAAGGCAGCCTTGGTGAGACCTTCAGGGCACTCCTGAAGAGCCACAGAAAAAAGATTCACAAAAAAATCAGTGGAATTTGAGCTCCTAAACCCCTTGGAGCCCTTTAGTAACAGATCCCCAAAGGCAGCCTTGTGAGACCTTCAGGGCACTCCTGAAGAGCCTGAAAGATCCACAAAAAAAAAGATCCACAAAAATATCAGTGGAATTTGAGCTCCTAAGCCCCTCTGATCCCCTCAGCCTTGGTGAGACCTTCAGAGCACTCCTGAAGAGCCTGAAAGATCCACAAAAAAAAAGATCCACAAAAATATCAGTGGAATTTGAGCTCCTAAACCCCTCACAACCCTTTAATAACAGATCCCCAAAGGCAGACTTAGTGAGACTTTCAGGACATTCCTGAAGAGAGACTCAGCTGCTGAAGGTCCACAAAAAATCAGTGGAATTTGAGCTCCTGAAGAGCCTGAGGGGCTCAGATGGTGAAGATCCACAAAAAAATCAGTGGGATTGGAGTGGAATGGTTGTGCAGAGCAGCCCAATTCTTTCTGCTGGGAGCTCTTCGTGCAGGCAGCAGCTCTGTGCTGGATCCACAACACCCTGGATCCATGGGGTGAGGCCAGTGGTGTGAGGAGAACAGCCCAGCTGTGCCCAGCTGTGCCCAGGTGTGCCCAGGTGGCACAGGACCAGGGCAGTGCCCGTCCCCTGAGCTGGGCACTGCTGAGGAGCCTCAAATCCTGGGCTCAGTTTTGGGTTCCTCATGACAAGAAAGACCTGGAGGGGCTGGAATGTGTCCAGAAGGGCTGGAGAATTCCTGAGGGAGCTGGGAAGGAGCTGGAGAATTCCTGAGAGAGATGGAAAGGGCTGGAGAATTTCTGAGGGAGCTGGGAAGGAGCTGGAGAATTCCTGAGGGAGCTGGGAAGGAGCTGGAGAATTCCTGAGGGAGATGGAAAGGGCTGGAGAATTTCTGAGGGAGATGGAAAAGTAACTGGAGAATTCCTGAGGGAGCTGGAAAGGGCTGGAGAATTTCTGAGGGAGATGGAAAAGTAACTGGAGAACTCCTGAGGGAGCTGGCAAGGGCTGGAGAATTTCTGAGGGAGATGGAAAAGTAACTGGAGAACTCCTGAGGGAGCTGGCAAGGGCTGGAGAATTTCTGAGGGAGATGGAAAAGTAACTGGAGAACTCCTGAGGGAGCTGGCAAGGGCTGGAGAATTTCTGAGGGAGATGGAAAAGTAACTGGAGAACTCCTGAGGGAGCTGGCAAGGGCTGGAGAATTTCTGAGGGAGATGGAAAAGTAACTGGAGAACTCCTGAGGGAGCTGGAAAGGGCTGGAGAATTCCTGAAGGAGATGGAAATGGGCTGGAGAATTCCTGAGAGAGCTGGGAAGGGGCTGGAGAATTCCTGAGGGGGCTGGGAAAGGAGAAAAGGAGGCTCAGGAGGGACCTTGTGGCTCTGTACAACCCCTGACAGAAGGAGACAGCCCATGGGGGTCAGGTTCTGCTCCCAAAACCTCTGGTTTTGGGTGTTTTCCTCCTTGTTGTGCTGTTTGAAGAGAGGAGAGCAGCTGTTCTGCCTTTGCTGTCTCACTGATTTTCCCACTCCGGAATCCCCTTAGCAAATTCTCTTCAGGATTGTGGGGAAATGATTGGGATCAAATGGTGATTCTGTAACTGAGAGCAAACCCAGTCCTGGTTTGCAGGGACTCAGAGGGAATGCACACTAGGCTGAGTTATTGTAGGCCCTACATTTTACTCTTTAAGGACATAAAAAAGGAAAAGCTGTGTTTGTAGTCTCCAACCACAGGATAAAACTTGCAGTGATGTTCTACCTGCAGATTCTTGTGACTAACACTGTTTATTTATATGATCTTTGTATTATGCACATTTTACAGCCCATTTCAGCTGGGAAAAAAAAATAGGTGAAAAAGAGGCAGTGCCAGCTGGGCAAGGGCCTGCAAAACTTGTGTGGAATGAAGAAAAAAAAAATCCCCCAGTGCCTGGTGCCTTGGTTGTAATCCTCACCAGAGTCTGCATAAAGAGCAGCTGGGGGAAAAGAGAGGCTTTGTTTTAAACTTTATTCTTTGCCAGTACCTTCTGCTGGCAGCAAAGATTGCAAATGAATTAAAATGCTTTGTTGGGCTGCTGAGCAAGGGTGGGTGCTCAGGGTGGGGTTTGGGGTGGCCTCACTGGGGCCTCGCAGTGCTGCAGGGAGCCAGCAGGGACTGGGGCTGTGTGTGGCACAGGGAATGGCTGCACCCGGGGGGGTTTGGGGCAGCAATTCCTCCCTGGCAGGGTGTGAGGCCCTGGCACAGGTGCCCAGAGCAGCTGGGGCTGCCCTGAGCTCCCCAATCTTTGGATTAAATGCATAAAAACCAGATTTCCCAGAGCAGCTGGGGCTGCCCCTGCATCCCTGGAGGTGTCCAAGGCCAGGCTGGAGCCACCTGGGACAGTGGAAGGGGATGGAATGGGATGGGCAGGGATGGAAGGGGATTTTTAGTTCCCCCCAGCCCAAACCTGTACCTGGGGTGGAGAAAGGTGTGGAATGGGATGGGCAGGAGTAGCAGGAGTGGAATGGGACTTTAAGTCCCTCCCAGCCCAAACCAGAGCCCAGACCTCTACGTGGGTGGAGAAAGGTGTGGAATGGGATTTTGAAGTTCCTCCCAGCCCAGATCTCTGCCTGAGTTAAAGGAAGGTGTGTCCAAGGCCTGGTTGGAGCCACCTGGAGCAGAGGAAGGTGTGAAATGGGATGGGCAGGAATGGAAGGGGATTTTGAGGTTCCTCCCAGCCCAAATCTGTACCTGAGGTAGAGAAAGTTGTGAAATGGGATTTTCAGTCCCCCCCAGCCCAGCCCAGACCCCAAACCTGTACCTGGGGTAGAGGAAGGTGTGTCCAATGCCTGGTTGGAGCCAGCTGGGGTAGAAGAAGATTTAGAATAGGATGGGCAGGAGTAGCAGGAGTAGAATGGGGTTTTGAAGTTTCTCCCAGCCCAAAGCAGAGCCCAGACCTCTGCCTGGGGTAGAGGAAGGTGTGGAATGGGACGGGCAGGAGTAGCAGGAGTGAAATGGGATTTTGAGGTTCCTCCCAGCCCAAATCTGTACCTGAGGTAGAGAAAGGTGTGAAATGGGATTTTTAAGTCCCTCCCAGCCCAAACCAGTGCCCAAACCTCTACCTGGGGTAGAGGAATGTGTGAAATGGGATTTTGAAGTTTCTCCCAGCCCAAAGCAGAGCCCAGACCTCTACCTGGAGTAGAGGAAGGTGTGAAATTAGATGAGCAGGAGTGAAATGGGATTTTGAAGTTCCTCTCAGCCCAAACCTGTACGTGGGATAGAGGAAGGTGTGAAATGGGATTGTGGGTTCCCCCCAGCCCACAGCAGTGCCTCCCAGTGCCCCCCAGTTTCTCCCACTTCCTTCCATTTTCTCCCAGTACCTCCCAGTTTCTCCCAGTGCCCCCCAGTATCTCCCAGTGCCTCCCAGTTCCTCCCAGTTTCTCCCAGTGCCTCCCAGTTCATCCCAGTCCCTCCCAGTTCCTCCCAGTGCTTCCCAGTGCCCCCCAGTTTCTCCCAGTTCCTTCCATTTTCTCCCACTGAGCTCCCCAATCTTTGGATTAAATGCATAAAAACCAGATTTCCCAGAGCAGCTGGGGCTGCCCCTGCATCCCTGGAGGTGTCCAAGGCCAGGCTGGAGCCACCTGGGACAGTGGAAGGGGATGGAATGGGATGGGCAGGGATGGAAGGGGATTTTTAGTTCCCCCCAGCCCAAACCTGTACCTGGGGTGGAGAAAGGTGTGGAATGGGATGGGCAGGAGTAGCAGGAGTGGAATGGGATTTTAAGTCCCTCCCAGCCCAAACCAGAGCCCAGACCTCTACGTGGGTGGAGAAAGGTGTGGAATGGGATTTTGAAGTTCCTCCCAGCCCAGATCTCTGCCTGAGTTAAAGGAAGGTGTGTCCAAGGCCTGGTTGGAGCCACCTGGAGCAGAGGAAGGTGTGAAATGGGATGGGCAGGAATGGAAGGGGATTTTGAGGTTCCTCCCAGCCCAAATCTGTACCTGAGGTAGAGAAAGTTGTGAAATGGGATTTTCAGTCCCCCCCAGCCCAGCCCAGACCCCAAACCTGTACCTGGGGTAGAGGAAGGTGTGTCCAATGCCTGGTTGGAGCCAGCTGGGGTAGAAGAAGATTTAGAATAGGATGGGCAGCAGTAGCAGGAATAGAATGGGATTTTGAAGTTTCTCCCAGGCCAAAGCAGAGCCCAGACCTCTGCCTGGGGTAGAGGAAGGTGTGGAATGGGACGGGCAGGAGTAGCAGGAGTGAAATGGGATTTTGAGGTTCCTCCCAGCCCAAATCTGTACCTGAGGTAGAGAAAGGTGTGAAATGGGATTTTTAAGTCCCTCCCAGCCCAAACCAGTGCCCAAACCTCTACCTGGGGTAGAGGAATGTGTGAAATGGGATTTTGAAGTTTCTCCCAGCCCAAAGCAGAGCCCAGACCTCTACCTGGAGTAGAGGAAGGTGTGAAATTAGATGAGCAGGAGTGAAATGGGATTTTGAAGTTCCTCTCAGCCCAAACCTGTACGTGGGATAGAGGAAGGTGTGAAATGGGATTGTGGGTTCCCCCCAGCCCACAGCAGTGCCTCCCAGTGCCCCCCAGTTTCTCCCACTTCCTTCCATTTTCTCCCAGTACCTCCCAGTTCCTCCCAGTTTCTCCCAGTGCCCCCCAGTATCTCCCAGTGCCTCCCAGTACCTCCCAGTTTCTCCCAGTACCCCCCAGTTCCTCCTAGTTCCTCTCAGTGCCTCCCAGTTCATCCCAGTGCCCCCCAGTTCCTCCCAGTCCCTCCCAGTTCCTCCCAGTGCTTCCCAGTGCCCCCCAGTTTCTCCCAGTTCCTTCCATTTTCTCCCAGTGCCCCCCATTCCCCCCGTGCCCCCGGGCCGTGTCAGTGGCCGTGTCTCCCCGCAGACCCCTACGTGAAGGTGAACATCTACTACGGCCGCAAGCGCATCGCCAAGAAGAAGACGCACGTGAAGAAGTGCACGCTGAACCCCGTGTTCAACGAGGCCTTCAGCTACGACATCCCGGCCGAGCTGCTGCCCGAGCTCAGCGTGGAGTTCCTGGTCATCAACCTGGAGCGCAGCACCAAGAACGAGCCCGTGGGCCGCCTGGTGCTGGGCCGCCACAGCGCCAGCGCCGCGGGCAGCGAGCACTGGCAGCTCGTGTGCCGCAGCCCCGGCCGCGCCCTGGCCAAGTGGCACGGCCTGAGCGAGTGCTGAGCCGCGCCTGGCCCGGGCCAGCCCGGCCCGGCGGGCACGGGCACCGGGAGCCTGCGGCAGGAGGCTCACGGGGTGTGGGGAATCCTTCAAACGCCGTCTGAGGTGCTGTGGGGTTCGCAGGGCTCTAAAACTCCACAACGCAAAAATTAATGAGTTATTAGAAATAATTAAAGATGTTGTCTTTAGGTGGTGTGGGGTTCGCAGGGCTCTAAAACTCCACAACGCAAAAATTAATGAGTTATTAGAAATAATTAAAGATGTTGTCTTTAGGTGGTGTGGGGTTCGCAGGGCTCTAAAACTCCACAACACAAAAATTAATAAGAGATAATTTTAAAATGTTGTCTTTAGGTGATGTGGTTTTTGCAGGGCACGAAAATTCTACAACAAAAAAATTAATTAATTATTAGAAATAATTAAAAAATGTCGTCTTTAGGTGGTGTGGGGTTTGCAGGGCTCTAAAACTCCACAACACAAAAATTAATAAGAGGTAATTTTAAAATGTCGTCTTTAGGTAATGTGGTTTTTGCAAAGCACTAAAATCCTACCACAACAAAAAAATTAATAAGAAATAATTTTAAAAAGTCGTCTTTAGGTGATGTGGTTTTTGCAGGGCACTAAGAGTCTACAACAAAATTTTAAAAATTATAGGAAAATTTTTTTTTAAAAAAGCCGTCTTTAGCTGATGTGGTTTTTGCAGGGCACTAAGATTATACAACAAAAAATATTAATAAGTTACGGGAAATAATTAGAAAATGTCGTCTTTAGGTGATGTGGTTTTTGCAGGGCTCTAAAATTCCACAACAAAATAATTAAGAGATAATTTTAAAATGTCGTCTTTAGGTGATGTGGTTTTTGCAGGGCTCTAAAACTCCACAACACAAAAATTAATGAGTTATTAGAAATAATTTAAAAATGCTGTCTTTAGGTGGTGTGGGGTTTGCAGGGCTCTAAAACTCCACAACACAAAAATTAATAAGAGATAATTTTAAAATGTCGTCTTTAGGTGATGTGGTTTTTGCAGGGCTCTAAAATTCCACAACAAAATAATTAAGAGATAATTTTAAAATGTCGTCTTTAGGTGATGTGGTTCTTGCAGGGCACTGAGAGCCTACAAGACAAAATTAATGAGTTATTAGAAATCATTTAACATGTCGTCTTTAGCTGATGTGGTTTTTGCAAAGCACTAAAATCCTACAACAACAAAAAAATTAATAAGAAATAATTTTAAAAAGTCGTCTTTAGGTGATGTGGTTTTTGCAAAGCACTAAAATCCTACAACAACAAAAAAATTAATAAGAAATAATTTTAAAAAGTCGTCTTTAGGTGATGTGGTTTTTGCAGGGCACTAAGAGTCTACAACACAAAAATTAATTAATTATTAGAAATAATTTAAAAAGTTGTCTTTAGCTGATGTGGTTTTTGCAGGGCACTAAGAGTCTACAACACAAAAATTAATAAGAGGTAATTTTAAAATGTCGTCTTTAGGTAATGTGGTTTTTGCAAAGCACTAAAATCCTACCACAACAAAAAAATTAATAAGAAATAATTTTAAAAAGTCGCCTTTAGGTGATGTGGCTTTTGCAGGGCACTAAGAGTCTACAACACAAAAATTAATAAGAGGTAATTTTAAAATGTCGTCTTTAGGTGGTGTGGGGTTTGCAGGGCACTGAAAGTCTACAACAAAAAGAATTAGTAAATTACAGGAAATAATTTTAAAAAGTCGCCTTTAGGTGATGTGGCTTTTGCAGGGCACTAAGATTCTACAACAGAATTTAAAAATTATAAGAAAAATCATTTTTAAAACGTTGTCTTTAGTTGATGTGGTTTTTGCAGGGCACTAAAATTCTAAAACAAAAAAATTAGTAATAAATGATACAAAAGGAATAATTTTTAAAAAAAGGTTGTCTTTAATTGATTTAGTGGTTTTTGAAATTCTACAAAAAAAAAGAATAAGTGATAAGAAAGAAATAAAAACAAAATTTGTTCTCTTTAGTTGATGTGAGTTTTGCAGGGCACTGAAATTCTACAACAAAAAAAAATTAATAAATTGTAAGAAATCATTTAAAAAGTTGTCTTTAGGTGATGTGGGGTTTGCAGGGCACTGAAAGTCTACAACGAAAAGAATTAGTAAATTACAGGAAATGATTTTTAAAAGTCGCCTTTAGTTGGTGTGGTTTTTGCAGGGCACTAAGATTCTACAACAGAATTTAAAAATTATAAGAAAAATCATTTTTAAAAAGTTGTCTTTAGGTGATGTGGCTTTTGCAGGGCACTAAGATTCTACAACAGAATTTAAAAATTATAAGAAAAATCATTTTTAAAACGTTGTCTTTAGTTGATGTGGTTTTTGCAGGGCACTAAAATTCTACAACAGAATTTAAAAATTATAAGAAAAATCATTTTTAAAACGTTGTCTTTAGTTGATGTGGTTTTTGCAGGGCACTAAAATTCTACAACAGAATTTAAAAATTATAAGAAAAATCATTTTTAAAACGTTGTCTTTAGTTGATGTGGTTTTTGCAGGGCACTAAAATTCTAAAACAAAAAAATTAGTAATAAATGATACAAAAGGAATAATTTTTAAAAAAAGGTTGTCTTTAATTGATTTAGTGGTTTTTGAAATTCTACAAAAAAAAAGAATAAGTGATAAGAAAGAAATAAAAACAAAATTTGTTCTCTTTAGTTGATGTGAGTTTTGCAGGGCACTGAAATTCTACAACAAAAAAAAATTAATAAATTGTAAGAAATCATTTAAAAAGTTGTCTTTAGGTGATGTGGGGTTTGCAGGGCACTGAAAGTCTACAACAAAAAGAATTAGTAAATTACAGGAAATAATTTTAAAAAGTCGCCTTTAGGTGATGTGGCTTTTGCAGGGCACTAAGATTCTACAACAGAATTTAAAAATTATAAGAAAAATCATTTTTAAAAAGTTGTCTTTAGGTGATGTGGCTTTTGCAGGGCACTAAGAGTCTACAACAACAACGAGATGGGAACAAAGAACAAGAAGTAAATAGCACAGCTGCACATACCTGTACTCACGCTATTGCATGCCTACTCCAGAGCCGGAGGAGTGTAAGTGACTGCCGGTGTCGCGCTGCAGATTCCATGGATGAGGAATTCTGTCCCTTGGGAGCTGTGTGTGTTTGTGCCGAGCTGTCCCTGCCGGTCCCGGCTGCAGATTCCATGGATAAGCGAACTCTGTCCGAATTCTGTCCCTTGGGAGCTGTGTGTGTTTGTGCCGATTCCATGGATGAGGGAATTCTGTCCCCTGGGAGCTGTGTGTGTTTGTGCTGATTCCATGGATGAGGAATTCTCTCCCTTGGGAGCTGTGTGTGTTCGTGCCGAGCTGTCCCTGCCGGTGCCGATTCCATGGATGAGGAATTCTCTCCCTTGGGAGCTGTGTTTGTGCCGAGCTGTCCCTGCCGCTCCCGGCTGCAGATTCCATGGATGAGTGAATTCTCTGTCCCTTGGGAGCCGTGTTCGTGCCGAGCTGTCCCTGCCGGTGCAGATTCCATGGATGAGGAATTCCGTCCCTTGGGAGCTGTGTTCGTGCCGAGCTGTCCCTGCCGCTCCCGGCTGCAGATTCCATGGATGAGTGGATTCTGTCCCTTGGGAGCCGTGTTTTCCATGGATGAGTGAATTCTCTGTCCCTTGGGAGCCGTGTTCGTGCCGAGCTGTCCCTGCCGGTGCAGATTCCATGGATGAGGAATTCCGTCCCTTGGGAGCTGTGTTCGTGCCGAGCTGTCCCTGCCGGCTCCGTGTCCGGCGTTGCCTGCCCGTCGTTCCTGCACGTCTGTCCCGTGCCGCCCTGGGAGTCCCAGCCGCGTTTCCGTGCCCAGCCGCCTCGGGGTCTGCACTGGCACGAAGGGAGGATCCAGGGAAGGTGGCACTGGCCTGCAGGCACCGAAATCCTCGCCGTGGGGCCACAAATGCAGGCTTGCTCCCGAAGCCAAACCCCAACACACTGATCCCGGTGCTTTCGCCACCGGGGGCCACACAGCCCGTGGGAGCTGCGGAAATCCTGCTCAGTTTCCTTTCATTTAATTTAATTTAATTTAATTGACTCCTCTCTCTGCATGGAGGGCTCAGAAAACCCCAAACACTGATGTGACTGCTAAGGAAACTTTTAAACATTACACAGCAAATTCTGATCATTCCTGAAAATTAATTCCTGATAATTAATTCCTGATAATTTACGCTAATTTCTGACAATTAATTCCTGATCATTTTCTGATTATTCCTGAAAATTAATTCCTGATAATTTACGCTAATTTCTGACAATTAATTCCTGATAATTTCTGATAATTCCTGATCATTTTCTGATGATTTCAGATAATTAATTCCTGATAATTTATGATAATTTCTGACAATTAATTCCTGATAATTTATGATCATTCCTGATCATTTTCTGATGATTTCTGATAATTAATTCCTGATAATTTATGAAAATTTCTGACAATTAATTCCTAATAATTTATTATCATTCCTGGTAATTTTCTGATAATTCCTGATAATTAATTCCTGATAATTTCTGATCATTCCTGATCATTTTCTGATAATTCCTGATAATTAATTCCTGATAATTCCTGATAATTTATGACAATTAATTCCTGATAATTTCTGATCATTCCTGATAATTCCTGATAATTAATTCCTGATAATTCCTGATAATTTATGCTAATTTCTCACAATTAATTCCTGATAATTTCTGATCATTCCTGATCATTTTCTGATGATTCCTGATAATTTCTGTTTAATGGCAGCACAAAGCTGAGCTAGGCAAAGGTCCTGGAGGCAGAGCTTGTCCGTGCCGTGGTGACAAACTGCCCTTCATCCATGCTGGAGTCAGTTTGACCAGAAATGATCCTGGAGTCACCCAAAGCACAGGACAGCTCCCAAAACAGGCACTGAAAACGTGCCAGAGCTGGAGTTTGGGGCAGTCTGAAATGCTGCCCGTGCTCACAGCCAGCCAGGGCACGGGTAAGGGGGCAGCAGGTCGTTCATGGTAACCAGTGCTGGTGAATTGAGGAGGATAATTATAATTAAAACTGTTCTGGGCTCTCCAGTGCAGATGGAGAAGCAGAACTGGGGTTGCAGAGAGGCTCCTCAACAGCCCCAGGAAAATCTTTGGTTGCTCCCAGGCTGCTCTGAGCCCTCTGGGATGCAAACAGGAATGCAAATAACAGAATAAATCTTTTAAAAATTAAGATCATTTAACTACTTAAAGGACTGGACTGCTGAGTTTTAGATCCCTGTTGTTAAAATGATCCTTTTCAGCTTTTCTGCCCTGAAATGGGAATAACTGAGCCAGGCTCTCCTGGTCCCCAGGGCACTTTCCCACTGCCCCCACTTTGGCATCTCCTTTCTTTTTGGAAAGCTGATTTTTCTCCCCCACAAAATGAGTGATTCTCCCTCCCAGGCTGGGGCTCCATTTCCCAGCAGAACCAAACGTGGATTTCCCCTCCCCCATCCCCATGGTGAGGATTTCTGCCTGAGGTTGTAGAGGATTTTATCAGTGAGGTTGTGGTGAATTTTATCCGTGTCTTAAACTCTTTCTGGCTCAGACTCTGTGGCTCAGAGAATGAGTTTCCCCCCTTTGGAAATTGCTGTAAATCTCTTTCAATCCTGATTTTTTTGCACTAAGCAATTGTGTTGCTGCAATTCAAGCAACTTTTCCTCAGCACGTGCTTTCCACCACCACTCCAAAGATCTGACCAGGACCAACAGCAGCAACAAAATCCCCTTCTCCCCTTGGTGTGAAAAGCATGGTTAAGCCTAGATGATCTTAAGATTCCTTTAGTCGCAAAGGAAAGATGAATTTCTTGTCAAGGAAACATGCTCAGGGTAAATAGATTTAGGTTATTGGGCAGGTAGGAGTAGCTCCAACACTCTTCTGGAATAATAGGAAACTGAAAATGTGCAGATATATATTTTTTAAAACATAAAATAGACAGTAAGTGACAGCAGACTCACTGTAAAATCTCCCAGGTGTGGTTATTCTTTACCTTGTGTCTTCTATTGTAAAATGAACTTGGACAGTTACAACTTTGTGTGGAAAAAAATAATAATAAAAAAAGAATAAAAGGCAAAAAAACCTAACTCAACCTGTGTGAAACTGCATAATGCTATAAGCTAACCTACATTCTGTAATGCTACCTTGTATGTTGAATTTGTTAATGCACATTGAGCGTGCAAATAAAAATTAAATCACTTTAATTTTGCTGCCTGTGCCGTGTGTGACCGTGGGCAACAACCAGCCCTGAACACCCCGAGGGTTTGCTTCCATAAATATGCATTTCTGCTGGAAAAGTGCATTTAATTCACACACAGAATAAACCTCAGTGGGACAAAGAAGTGCCACAGAATCCTGGCACATTAAATATTGAATTAAAGCAGGTCTGGAAGAGAGGAGGGTTTGGGGTCACCATCCTGAAGGAGCCAAGCAAGAGGATGGAGAGAGATTATTTATAAAAACCTGCAGTGCCAGACCCAGGGAACGGCTTCCAGCTGGCAGAGAGGAGGTTTGGGGTGGATTTGGGGCAGGAATTCCTCCCTGGAGGGTGGGCAGGTGCCAGAGCAGCTGGGGCTGCCCTGGATCCCTGGCAGTGCCCAGGGCCAGCCTGGACCGGGTTTGGAACAGCCTGGGACAGGGGAAGGTGGCACTGGGTGGGATTTAAGGTCCATTTCAACCTAAACCATTCCATAATTCTGTGGATTTGAGGTCCATTTCAACCTAAACCATTCCATAATTCTGTGGATTTGAGGTCCATTTCAACCTAAACCATTCCATAATTCTGTGCTAATTCTTTTTACTTAAGCCTTACTTTACTTTTTACTTAAGCCCTTCCCACCCAAGCCAGCCTGGGATTTTTGGGCAGACATTCAAAGCTGCTGCCCAGTCAAACACAGAGTTTATTTAACGCTGGTATTTCCCCTTCATTTCCACATCTCACCGCGGCTGATCGGGATGCTCCGTCCCTTTCAGTGATTTATAAACACTTCTAATGAGTTTATCAGGGAAATAATCAGGGTTGTTGAGCCGTTGGCTGAAACGATTCAATCACTGATTATCTGCTGCTTCTTGTGCAGAATGTGAAAGGGAAACTGAAAGGGAAATGGAAAGGGAAATGGAAAGGGGAATTGAAAGGGAAATGGAAAGGGAAATGGAAAGGGGAATTGAAAGGGAATCTCCCTTCACCCTTCTCTGCTGGACTCCTGCGTCCAGCCTTTCAAAACCCGCGGGTTTCAGGTTCTTACCCCGTTCAGCCGCCCAGAAACAAAAGGATTTGCATCATAAAAAGAGAAGGAAAAGCAAGAAAAAAGCGTGACCAGAATGGGCTCCCCAGGCGTGAAAAGAGGAACGGTTTCGTGGGGAGCATGGAAGCTCGGCCGCAGCTCCCTTCCCACTGTCGGGAGGGACGGACGCGCGACAGGAAAGGTTCTTCTGTAGCGAAACTCGCTTCCATTCTCGGGGTCTGCATGCAGAGCGTTCTGCCCCACAGATCCTGAAATCCTCCTGCCCCACAGATCCTGAAACCCTGCCCCATAGATCCTGAAATCCTGCCCCACAGATCCTGAAATCCTGCCCCATAGATCCTGACTGCCCCATAGATTCCTCCTGCCCCATAGATCCCCTGTGTCCCATAGATCCTGAAATCCTGCCCCATAGATCTGAAATCCTGCCCCACAGATCCTGAAATCTTGCCCCATAGATCCTGACTGCCCCATAGATTCCTCCTGCCCCATAGATCCCCTGTGTCCCATAGATCCTGAAATCCTGCCCCATAAATCCATCCTGCCCCATAGATCCCCTGTGTCCCACAGATCCTGCCCTAGAGATCCCCTGTGCCCCACAGATCCTGTCTGCCCCACAGATCCCCGTGCAGAAGAAAAGGGCTCCTGAGCCCTCACCTGGGAAGGCTCAGGCTCTGTTGTTTTCATGGCTTACCCAGAAAAAACCCACCTCACACAAAAAGATGTTTTTACCAAGCAGAACTCAACTAGAATATAACATTTTTAAAAAATTTTTAAAAAATTTAATTTTTTTTTTAAATTAGTCTTTTGAGAATGCTTGGAGTGTGTCACTCATTTGTCTGTGTCATTTCTGACACATGTGCTCTTCACATTTTGGAGCCCCAAACCCGA